CTTTAAACTTCCCACCAAGGACGCCCGGCTCAAGACCTTTGGGACGTGCGGCACCCACCTGGGGGCCATCTTAGCCTTTTACATCCCACGTCTCTTCTCCTCGCTCGCGTCCCGCTTTGGCGAGAACATGCCCCTGTATTTTCATATTCTGAGTGCCAACATGTACCTCCTGCTGCCCCCCACGCTGAACCCCATCATCTACGGGGTGAAGATCAAGCAGATCCGGGACAGGCTGTTCCGCCTCGTCACTCACTGTGGGGGGAAAGTTTTCTCCTGGTGCTTTGGCTCTCAGGCAGAGCTGAAAGCTGACAGGGTGCCAGGCCCGCTTCCCTGAGACACAGGCTGAGATGACTGAGTTGGGATTGGTCCTGCTCTTGCCAGGGGGCTGGATTCAGTGACTCCTGAGGTCTCTGCCAGCCCTGGGATTCTAGGATTCTATGACATCCCCTTAAGACTGTCATCAAGTGTGAGGAAATACCACTTGGTCTGCCAGCCTGCCCTTTGGGATGCTCCACCACCTTGTCCTGCTCAGCCGGGCCCTCTGATCTCTCCCTGCATTGGCACAGATTTGGGGTTACAGCAGACAGGGGAGTAACAGAGACAATGAGATTAGATGAGCCCTGGGAAGACTCAGTTAAAGGGACATGACTCAGTGCCCAGGTGCACGGTCCCAATGGGTCTAGAAGCCCAGATAAATCCTGTTTACTTTGCTTTAAGTTTAATTCAGGGGAAATTCATAAAATGCCTACCCGCTTGTTGAGTGAAAGAGAGAAATGCACAGGTACTTGCTCCTCTGTAAACGATGATTTACACTGGATGTGTTGATAAATAAAATTGTAGAAAGTACAAAATGTTGGATTCAAGTGGTTGCAAGTAATAGCAGACACATCAAAGTAAGTCACGCAGGGTGGTTAAGTAAGTCATCTTGGGTGGTTAGCAGGATTGTCCTTGTATCTGGTTGCTGCCCCTATGGTTTGGTTTCACACTTTTCTATTCCTTGTTCCAAAGGTGGGAATCCTTTGTGTTCAGCTTCAACTTTTCACTCGTAGAGTGGAAAAGTACAATGTCCAAAATGGGTTCGAGTATTAGGTGACCTGGCTACATGCCTTGGCAGGACCAACTATTGTCAAAGCTTACGGGATAAAACAAGGAGTTTTTTGCTGCTTTTTTCTACTTTCACATACAGGAATGCGACATGGGCACAAACAGACATTCAGCAGATAATAAAAGACAGGACTATGTAGCACTTTAAAGACTAACAAGATGGTTTATTAGTCCTCCTTCTGTTCTGAATTTTGATTTGTCCCTTTCATATGTGTTTATTTTTTTTAATTGTATCCTTTGGTATATATGGTTGTGACTATTTTATTCCACTATTTGATCTGAGGAAGTGGGTCTGGCCCACGAAAGCTCATCACCTAATAAACCATCTTGTTAGTCTTTAAAGTGCTACATAGTCCTGTATTTTGTTTCAGCTACACCAGACTAACACGGCTACATTTCTATCACTATTCTACAGCAGATAATAAAGTTTCTAATGTTGTGTCACAAGACACGCTTTGCATATGCGAGTTATGTCATAGTCACATGCGTATTTCAATAAAGTGTGTGGGGCGCACAGCGACATGCAGGATGTCCTGTCAGGTGTCCATGGGAAGGCTGGATTATGGGGGTTGTGCACGTTTCTTGGTATAAAGATTATTGGTGACAGTCTGGTATTACGAGGCAGATCCAGTTAGGGGCCAGAGCAGTGGTGTTGGGGTCAGGACACCTCGTTTCCATTCCCAGCTCATTTGAGGTTTGGGGTAAATCGCGTTATCTCTCTGTGGCTCACTCTGTCCTTGGGGGGTGGGGCGGGGTAACTTGGCCCACTCAATCTAATGACAGAGATTCCAGCCGTGACAAATAGCACCATGAAGAGCGCCAGTTAGATTCAGCTTCACTTCTCAGTTTTAATCCCTGGGTAGTGGCTGCCCTGGAGCCTCAGAGAAGGTGCCATGCGTGGGTATAAAGTGCCAGCTCATGGAGGCTGTGCCATTCATCTCCCGCCCTGTGACATTCTGAATCCACCCCCAGCCTCTGCCCAACATCCCTAACACTGACGCTTCTCCTATCGCCTCTATCAATTGCTGTGCACTTAGCACAAATGCTGATCCCTAAGGCCTGGCTCAGGGCAAAGAGCTCCCAGTCCGAACCCTTTACAGCCATCCTGCCTCCTACAGGCCTCAGCCAGGGGGCACAGAAGGAAATTGGAAGCTAATAGACCTATACGGGATATGATAGTAGTCTATACAATCATGAGTGGTGTGCAGAAAGTGAATAAGGAAAAGTTATTTACTTGTCCCTATAACATAAGAACTAGGGGCCATCTCATGAAATTAATGGGCAGCAGATTTTAAACAAATAAAAGGAAGTTCTTCTTCACACAGCACACACTCAACCTGTGGAACTCCTTGCCTGAGGAGATTGTGAAGGCTAGGGCTATAACAGGGTTGAAAAGAGAACTAGATCAGTTCATGGAGGTTAAGTCCATTACTGGCTACTAGCCAGTATGGGTAAAGAATGGTGTCCCTAGCCTCTGTTTGTCAGAGGATGGAGATGAATGTCAGGAAAGAGATCACTTGATCATTACCTGTTTGGTTCATTCCTTCTGGGGCACCTGGCATTGGCCACTGTTGGCAGACAGGACACTGGGCTGGATGGACCTGTGGTCTGACCCCGTCTGGCCGTTCTTATGTTGAAGACACCCAATAGACTCTTCCCTCAGGAATTCGTAGCTCAGTGTGAGGACTGCAGGGGATCCTGGACTACCCTGCCTGGACCATAAAAGGTGATGTCAGCCTTGTCCACAGGGCACATAAGTAAGAAGCAAAGCCCAGGCCTGTCTCAAGTCTGGTGCACATAAGCACGTAGGCGAGGCCGAGGGAGAACCCATGAGGAAGGAATGTTTTGAATAACAGTGTAGGAATAAGAGATCCTCTGGAAAAGAGCTTATTTTCCGGAGGATCGCGTCCAGACTGGCGCTTTTTTCCGGCTTATCTCCAAGCCGGAAAAAAGCGGCAGCCATGAAAATGCAAATCCCGCGGGGGGTCTTTAAATCCTCCATGTCTGTAAGGTTTAAATTGTATAGTAATAGTTCTTAAGGCTTGTAAAACTTAAAACAACTGTATGATCTGCTTAACGCTTGCAATACATAAGAAAGTGGTTAAGTAGCCCTGCATTGTCCTGGTTTCCCTTGGATCTAAAATCAATCAAGCCACACCATAAGGACCCAACCAGGCATCTGATGCGCAATCATGTGCATCTGTCACACAACACTGCTCCCAACTCACAGATGCGTTTCTATAACTTCTGGGCTTTCTTCTCTACTTATCGAACCGCCAGTCCAAGAGCTAACCCTCCTCCTCCCCCACTCTCAGCGGACGCTCCTTGTCACCCTGGAGCAGGGCCTGTCCCACCCGGGAGCTGAGGGAACTCTGCTGTGAGGAGGTTGGAGGTTGATATGATCCCCCCCCCCCCCCGGTCACATCAATCTTGCTTGCCCCGCTGAGGTGCCTGTATACAGGGCAGAGAAGGAGCAATAAAAGTCAGCATAGCCATTAAGCTTCAATGTGAGATCAGAATATGCGGGCTCCTCTGAGCCTGAGCAAGCTGAAAACATAGATATGAGAAGAGAACGATTAAGGCAATAGCTGACCTCAAGACTGCGAGAACTGCCCTGGCTGGCACCTATATTGATAAGATCACACACAGTCCCTGGGAGAGGAATCTCCCGCTGAGAAAAGAATGCCCAGTACTTCCAAATTAGGTTTCTCTCTTACAAGTGTAAATTAAGTTCACAACTCCCTTGTAAGAACTGGCATCACAAAAGACAGACCAGTACAATTTGGCATCACAGATAAGAAAGAGAAATATGTGACCCCATGGGTTTAAAGATGGGTCCAGCAGCACACTCACGTTGAATGTCAATCTACCATCTACCTACTGGTCGGGGTAGGTTATTGACCGCCCAAGGTTCCACGGGGCGCCCACCTTGTATTGGTCTTTCCTAGGAATTGAGGGACCGGGCCTGGCTTGACCCACTGGCGTCGAGAGGCACAGAAGGGGGTAAAAATTGTACCTGAATGTGGTCCTTTGTCTCAAGTGTACACATAGAGTTAGAGCTCTTTAAAGATTAAGCTGTTACTTGGTGCCATTATTTCCTTCTATCTTTATTTTCTTTGTAACCATTTTTAAGATCTATATTTGCTAGCAGTTAAGAAATAGAGCAATAGCCATAGTAACCATATGATTTATAAGCTTCTTTAATAAACCTGTAACTGTTTAAGCTTTAACCTGACTCCTTCAGTTGCTGTAACAGAACCAAGCACAATTTAAAAGAACTTCAGCCGGTCATAAGGGACAGGTATAGGAAGAGCTTGGGCGTTTGGATCGTGTCACTCCCAGGTGACAGATCCGTTGGGGCATATCTCAGTCTTCCCTAGACTGCCCACTGCACAGGGATCTTGTATCCAAGCAGTTGAAATCTGAGTTGAAATAAGCTCTTCCTATAAACTCTGGGGCGTCTGTCAGCCTGTTGGCTGCCCTCTGCGACGAGACCCTGGTCCTAGCGGTAAAGACACAGACGTTAAACCTTTTCTTGGTAACACACACACACACACACACACTGCCCTTACCATCAGCTGACATCTAGATAGTGACAGGAGCTGCCTTGGAGAATGGATGCAGAAGTGGGTGAGGCCCCGAGGGAAGATACATCCCATGCTGGAGCCTTGGAGGAAGAGAAGAGGCTGGGCCCGGGGGCTTTCGTTACCAGCAATAGGAAACATGGCCACCTAAGGCGTTAATGTCTTTGTCAAGCTGACACAGTACAGTGTGGTGAGGAAAGGATTTAACGTCTTCTTGCCTACTCAGTGATTCAGGGAAGAGGGCTCAGTGCAATGTCACCAGGTAGCTCTGCACAAAGCTCGGTCTGAGAGCCACAGCGCCAGGAGAAAATTTTAAGGCATGTCCTTAATAAAAAGCCGAAACAGATGGCTCCTGATTTGTTTGATGCTCACCCCGTAGATGATGGGGTTTAGTAGGGGGGGCACGACGAGGTACATGTTAGAAATGAGAACATGGACATGCAGGGGCACATTCTGGCCGAACTGATGTGTGAGGAAGGAGAAGAGTCGTGGGATGTAAAAGGCTAAGATAGCGCAGAGGTGGGAACCACATGTCCCAAAAGTCTTGAGCCGGGCGGCCTTTGTGGGGAGACGTAAAATGGCCCTGAGGATCCGGGTGTAGGACACGGTAATAAAAACCACATCCAGACCAGTCACACCAAATACCACAAAGAGCGCGTAGTAGCTACTGACGCGGATGTCGGCGCAGGCCAGCTTCACCACGGCCATGTGCTCGCAGTGCGTGTTGGGGACGAAGTTGGTTCTGCAATAAGGTCGCTGACTCGCCAGTAGGATATAGGGCAGGACAATTATGCAGCCACGGAGCAAGACAGCCAGGCTGATCATGGCCACTAAACGGTTTGTCAGGATGGTAGCATGTCTGAGCGGATTGCAGATGGCGATGTAGCGATCAAACGCCATGGCCACAAAGATCCCAGACTCGGTCATGAAGAAGCCATGAATAAAGTACATCTGGGTGAGGCAGGCACTGAAATTGATCTCCCTGGAATTGAACCAGAAGATGCTCAGCGATTTGGGCAGGAGGGACGTGCAGAGGACCAGGTCGGCAATGGCCAACATGCAGAGGAAATAGTACATGGGCTCATGGAGGCTTGGCTCCATCTTCACGACATATAGGATAAGGAGGTTCCCGAAGAGGGCTATGAGGTACATGGCACAGAAGGGGATGGAGATCCAGGCATGAGCTGCCTCCAGCCCAGGGGGTTGGTGAAGTCAGTTGTGTTGGTGTCTGACATAAGGTAGGGGATAAGCTGCCCCACTTCAAGGCAGAATGGAGTCTCCTGCGTGTGCAGTCAATTTCCCTGAGTTCCTGTGTTTGCCTGTGCTCCAGGGTGACGGTCGAGGGACAAATACCTGGAGGGAGAGACAATGTTAGTATGAGACACGACATGCGCTACTGGAGGCTCTTCCCATGAATTACACAGAAGGGTCGTTCTCCCCACACTGGGAAATGACATTTTCATTTTTCAGCATCACAGATTGTGAGGAACAGAGCCTTGTAACACCAACCCCATGTGTTATGTTGCTCCATTCACTGTAATTACCACAAGAAAACTGTGATCATCACCCGCAGGAAATGCAAATGTGGATACTGAATCTCAACTAGGCCACACCCCAGGGAAAGGAGAAGAGGATCGTTAAAGTTATTGTAATTGGGAAATTTATTTTTATAGATTTTTTTAAATTAATATATTATGGCTGCGATTAAGAAAAGGAAATATGATGAAGACTACATTAAGTATGGCATGGAAAAAAATGGGATCGATCATCTTCAATGCGTAATATGCCACACGGTTCTTAGCAATGACGCCTTGAGATCTAGTCATCTTGAGTGATACTTGACGATGCTCCACAGCATTTTGACAGATGAACCAAAAGTTTTTTGCTGCTAAACTTCAAAATTTGAAACGCATGAAGCTGGACACGACTGGAGCTTTTCATCAAGCATCAGCCAAAGCACTAGAAGCATCTTATGAACTGTCATTGCTTATCGCTAAAGCCCAGAAAGTGCACATAATTGGAGAAATGCTTGGGAAGCCTTGCTTGTTGAAAGCAGCTGATATTGTGCTTTGTGTCAAAAGCAAGAAAAAATGCGCTTTCTGACAATTCCGTGAAACGTCACATCGATGAGCTGACGAAAGATAATGAACTTCAAGTTGTGGAGGCAGTGTTGGCTTCTCGTTTTTTTGCAGTTCTGTGTGATGAGACCACTGATGTAGCACAATGCTGTCCGTTGCATGTCTACGTTCGATTAGTTAACAATGGAACTGTGAAGGAAGAACTACTTTTTTCGAAGGAATTGATGACCACATCAAAGGCTTTTGATATTATGAAAATGATTTCTGACTTTTTTGAAGAAAATAGACTTTCATGGGGAAAACTGGTTGGTGTGTGCACAGAGAGTGCTCCAGTGATGCTTGGCTCTCACTCTGGATTTGTGACGTTGGTGAAAGAAAAAAAATCCAGCCGTAACTACAACTCACTGCGTCATACATAGACAAGAGTTGGCTGCTAAAACTCTTCCAGATAACCTATGTGACTCATTGAATTTAGCCATCAAAGTTGTCAATTTTGTGAAGAACACTGCTTTAAATACAGATTTTGTTATGCTCTTTGCATGGATTTGGGAGTGGATCATAAAACTCTTTTATTTCACACCGAGGTACGATGGCTTTCCAAAGGTAACATGCTTTCGAGATTATCTGAACTGAAAGACGAAATGGAAATTTTCCTCAAGCAACAGAAGACAAAAGAGTTATATCATGCCTTTACAGACCAAATGTTTCACCTTTCACTGGCATACCTAACTTTTCATCTTTCCCAACATTTTAATCACTCATTGAAAATGAAGATTTCCAAGAAGTTTGTAAAGAAGATGTGAAGAACAAAATTGTGTTTCAACTGGATTGCCTTGCTGACAAATTCATCTGCTATTTTCCCGACAACTTTTCTGACAATCCCATTCCTAAATTAGTACATAATTCATTCAACGTTGATGTCGATTCATTGCCAGAAGTATTGCAAGAACAAGCACCCGAAATAAAATATTATTCAAGTGGCTGCCTCCCTCCTTGGTTGGAGCAGCTAGGGCGGCGATTGCTGGGCTTGCTCCTCCAGAGGCAGAGGCAGCTCCAGGGACGGCTGCAAAGGTTGTTCCTTGGGCTATGTCTAGACTGCAGGCTTCTTTCGAAAGAGCCTCTTTCGAAAGATCGCGTCTAGACTGCAGGCGGATCTTTCGAAAGAGCAATCCACTTTTTCGAAAGTGAGTCTGGATGCTCTCTTTCGAGGAAGCCCTATTTACATTGAAGAACGCCTTCTTTTGAAAGAGGAACTTTCGAAAGAAGGCGTTCTTCCTCGTGAAACGAGGTTTACCGCCATCGAAAGAAAAGCCGCGTTCTTTCGAAATAATTTCGAAAGAACGCGGCTTGAGTCTGGACGCAGGGGAAGTTGTTTCGGGAAAAGGCTACTTTTCCTGAAAAAACCCCTGAGTCTGGACACGGCCTTAGAGTTACACCAGCTGCGACAACCACGCTGGCTCAGGAGCTTCAGCTTCCTCCCTGCTTGCAGTTCCCCCTGAATGAGCTCTACCCCGGCCTTTTATACAATCCCCACACCAGGAGCATGCCCAGTTGGTTGAAAGGGATGGGGCTTTCTCCGCCCAGAGGCCTTTCCCCCTTTCTTTAGTGTGGAGTATATCCACTCCACCGCAGGGGGATAGGATAGAGGTCTATAAAATCATGACTGGTGTGGAAAAAGTGAATAAGGAAAAGTTATTTACTTCTTCCCACAACATAAGAACTAGGGGTCACCAAATGAAATGAATAGGCAGCAGGAAACATGGAGGCCAATGACTAGAGGGAGAAAGGGATCTTGTTAATGTTTCAGAAAAATTATTTTTGTTCTGCTTTGGGAAAGAAGCCGTATGAGGCATTCCTAGAACACCAGGTGATGAAACGCTAGCCCGGCCTTTAGCGGAAGGAGGATATTAATAGAACCATAGAATCACAAGTAGACAAGTTATGAATTGACTGATTAACCACACCTGATCAGAACCACAGTACGTACTTGGGTAGCAAGAGAATGAAAGAAAGAATGAAAGAAAGGGCACAGTGTCAGACAGAAATTTCTGATGTATTTGAAAAAAAATTGCTTCAAAAATTACTTTTTGAATTTTTGGCTAGCTATTCTTAAAATTCCTTTTTAACCTTCCTAATGATATTTTTACACTTCCTTTGACAGAGTTTATGCTCCTTTCTATTTTCCTGTCTAGGATGTAACTTCCACTTCTTCTACTTCATTGTTGTGTCATGGTGGCACTTTTTGGGTCTCTTACTGCGTGGCCACTTACTCCGGAAAAGCAGCCGTTTTTCCGGAATAAGCTGCGAGCTGTCTACACTGGCCCCTTGAATTTCCAGAAAAGCAGTGACATCTACTGTAAGAAATCAACTGCTTTTCCAGAAAAACTATGCTGCTCCTGCTTGGGCAAAAGTCCTTTTTCCAGAAAACTGTTCCGGAAAAGGGCCAGTGTAGACAGCACAGTAGTCTTTTCCGCAAAAAAGCCCCGATCGCGAAAATGACAATCGGGGCTTTTTTCCGGAAAAGCGTGTCTACATTGGCCACGGACGCTTTTCCAGAAAAAGGCAGAAAAGCATCCTGCCAATGTAGACGCTCTTTTTCTGGAAATACTTATAACGGAAAACTGTTCTGTTTTAAGCATTTCCGGAAAAAGGTGCCAGTGTAGACACAGCCTGTGTGTTTTTCTTTTTCTTTGGGGGATACATTTAGGTTGAGCCTCAGTTGTGGTGTCCTGGAAAGTTTCCATTCAGCTTGCAGGGATTTTACTTTTGTCACTGTGCCTTTTGTGCTTTTTCATTTCTGTTCAACTAACCTCCTCATTTTTGTGTAGTTCTCTTTTCTGAAATTAAATACCACAGTGTTGGGTGCTGTGGTGTTTTTTCCCACCACAGGGATGTTAAATTGAATTATATTATGGTCACTATTTCCCAGCAGTCCAGCTATACTAACCTCTTGGACAAGATCCTACACTTTACTTCGGATTAAATCTCACGTTCTAATGGTTCAGAAGCAAGAAGCCCTGCATATTGGCAGGGGGATAGAATAGCTGACCCTACTCATCACCTGCTGGTTCTATCATTCTATGATGCACAATCCTAGTGAAGGCAGGTCTTAGTCACACCCAAGTCATTGGGCTGAGTTAAGGGTAAATGGGTAACATTTGAAGCCCCAAATTTTACAAGAGGTGAGCCTGGATGTTCTAATGATCCCTTCTGACCTCAAAACCTATGACATTATCAAAAAACAAACAGAGCTGTCCTTCACTGTTACTGTGTCTTAAAACACACAGGTACAAGGGGACATTGAATTATATTGAAACTCTGAACATGATTCTGTGAAATTAAAGTGATTTACATGACACATATTTGGCCACTGGAACTCCTTGCTACAGATAATATTCCCGCTAAAAGCTTAGGTGAATGGGATTCACTAATTCACAGGGCCGTTAATGCCACTTTTACTGATGCGACGTCCGGCACCTTCCGTGAAAAAGAGCTCATTATCTGATGGATATCAGTTTGCCCAGCTTTTCGCATTTGAACGGGTATTTCCCACCCTGGGTGTCTGCTTCTGGCTGAATTGTTTTCTGTCTGTTTCTGTCTGATTGTTAAATCTGAGACATCACAGCTCAGGAGACCTCGCCATGAAGCAAGGAGAGAAGGTGTCTCGCCCACATTGAAACATTCTTACAGTTGTTCCAGGGAAGAGCTCTAGTTCCTCCCTGCTCTCCAGCAGACAAACGTCAGGTAACAACCCCCTGTTAACAGCCAGCGCGCTGAGATGCAAGGGGTGGAGGTGACCGTGTCTGGGCAGTGACACACAGCTGGCTCCTGAGGGCTTTACTCAGTTCTTCCTCCATGGGGAGTGTTGCCTGAGCAAACAATGGGCCAGTGAAATGCAGCTGTGATGGGGGTGGTCATAGATGACCCCTTGCAGGGGGGGGGGGCTCCCAGAGTGCTGACATGCCCTCTACCACTCGCTTTCCCGCTTTCTGGGGCTCCTCACCGCCCAGTCCCACTGGCACAACTCTGCTGGTCTCCCCAGCCAAGACAGTGAGCTGAGATCGAGTCCACCCCATCACCCGAGCAGACACTGAACCTCTTCATATCCAAGGCCAG